CAGGAGGTTATTTTCATCCTTCAATTCATTGACAGTGTGGTTCAAAGCATCAATTGTCTTCTGAAACTCAGCCTTTATAGTTTCGATCTCAGCTTTTGTTTCTTCTCCGTCTTTACTGACTTTGGTTAAAAGTGTATATATAGGTATATCTCTATTAGAGATATTTTTTACAGTCATTATTGATGGTTTTTGAAGGTATATTTTTCATATGAAATAACCCCACTCAAATTGCACCCGCCACTGTTTAGTTTCACTATCAGTAGAAGAAATGAAAAGGACAAAAACAAATCTGATATGAATCGAGACAGTTTTTTACGATGGGTTAGAAATGAATAATGCTCACTTGAGAATCTTCATGCAGTTCTACAGATCTAACCACTGAATCTTCTGGTTCGCACTAAGGAAATGAAACTGTATGATTCAACACACTCGATTCACAAAGAAAAAACGGCTTTTTTAGGAAAATATTTCCTCAGCAAAACACTGCCGAACGGAGAGCTCAGTTAAACACAGGCGCACCAGCGGGTAAGCTACAAGTCATCAATCTCCCTCATGAATCACATAAGCGCCCCCTAATTTTTTCTGGGCCCCTTACCGCCGTCATCTAAGCGCTCACTTTGGGAAATACTGCCTAAAATAGATACTTTGGCTCACTATGAAAATTGATAACTTTTTTATAGATCAAACAATTTGTACTCGTTTTGGCAATATTTGACCCGAACACGTTTTTCGTGGGATATCAATTCATATTGTCCGTTGCTTGCAGTAGTCACTATTATAAGAAAATGAGGGTCATTTTTGGAAATGTACAAGAATATTTCCATTATATTTGTGATGTTTTATAATCACTAAAACCTTCCTTCCCCCCTGCTAATACGTGATGAGCTTTTCGACTAGTAAACATTTTTTTAAATATCATGTTTAAAAACAGGTATGCACAATCTAATGTAATCAGGCAGGTTGCAGGTTAGTTCGACTGACAAAAACTAATGAAGAAATGGTGTTATCATATGAAAAGTCGCGCGTTGAATGAAAAAACCATTACTCGTGATCTCACTGAACCACTTTTCTACCATATAGTATTTCGTTATGAAAGTTCTATGCAAACTTCTATTACAAGGGATACAAAGGAAAAAACAAATGCAACATTTTGAATGCTTTAGCCATAAAGAGGTCTAACTGCCTCAAAAGAGGTACATTTCCTTACAGTGAGGAGGATTGATGATATAAGTGACTAGCGAACCGCCCTGACTCCGCACGGGTGCAATGCTGACACTTAATATGAATTCCCCCACCGAAAGTTCGAAGGCATTGAGAAAAATTGATGAAAAAATAATTTTGTGTTATGGACGGGACTTTTTCCCCGCAACTGACGCCCCAGTTGGAATATTTAAAAATCCTTTTTTTATTGCACATCTACAACATAAAAGGAAACTACATACAAAATCTCAGCTTCGGAAAATATAGCGGTACGGAGAAACAGTGATGAAAAGGTAATTTTCATATGTTAACGCGTCCCTTTTACGGGGGGCGCCCCCCGTGCGAGAAGCGCATCTAAGACCTAAGAAGCACCTATTTCAGCTTCCTAGGACTACGGAGAAACAGATGAATTAGTAAGTGTTGAGTGAGTGACTTTTGCATTTATAAGTATAGAAGATGCGACGAACTTGAAATTTTTGAATTTCATATAAGCTCTACTGGGTGGGAAATTAATTTCACGAAAAAGTCGGAATTGACGGCTTTCCGTTGATACATTCTTTTTCTTCCTAACACGTCAAAATGTTACTGAGAATATTCAGCTAGGTACTTTGATTGAACTACCATTTTTGAGGCTGAAAATAATAAATTATATTCTTTGAAAATTCAACGCAAGTAACACTGAAAGATACTAAAACTGTAATAAGCCATATAACTCCTCATCCTGAACAAATTTTCTGAATATTTTGACATATCATCAACAAAAAGAATACAAATGTTGAAAAATCAGATATTCTGGTTATACATTTAAAAAAAACGGTTTTCGCTTCACTGTCAAAGCCAACTTGTATTCCAAAAAAGAAAATATTCTTAGCATATCGTCGTGATAAATCTATTTTATGGGAATTTCTGAAAAAAACTTTTAGACCATCACACTACGTTCACCAAAATATTGGTCCGATATGACCAATGTGATCTTTGCAAATAAATGTACAATACCCAATTGAATGACGAAACAAATTCACTATACTTCGTTTTTTGAGAAGTAATGCAAGTTTAAAAATGTGTATTCGACAAATACATTCATCAAGATCCGCTTTATTGTATCGATGCAGTCAGCTCGTTTATTTATCCACTGAAAAACTTTTGGAAAAAGGGATAAAATAAATCAACAAAAACTGTTTTCAAATATGCCCACGTTCATTTCAGATACAAACCTCACTTGATTGAATCTCAACTAGGAGGTCAAATGACCCAGGAAACCCCTCAGTTTTTTTTTAAATATGAAAATTCTCATTTCATACAGCAACACTTCGATGAGAGTATTATATGCAGTAAATGGTAAGTGCTGAGAGAAAAAACAATAATATCAAATTTCATCTTTAATTCGAATGTTCGCGAACAGCTTCAGGGATACAAATCATTTTTGACACGCCACAACATGAGATCCATGCATGCAGCGGCATCTTCGTAACTGTTATGGCCTTCTGTGCTGAACTGTATACTGCGATGTAGCACCGTTGATGCTAATTCCTTCAGGGCCTTACGATAGGGAAGCCCTTTTTCGTGTTCAAACACAAGGGCGGTGTCCACTATATTTTTATGTGCAATTTTCAGAGCTCGCAAGTCGCTCTCCAACGAATGGCCAATTAAAACTGTTTCTGCTCCTATGAACTGCAATAGGTCATATTGCACTTCGTGTATTCTTTTTGGGGCATTGACTTCCATATCATGGGCCGTTATTCCAGAAAAGCGAGTATTGTAGTCTACAATCTCATGATTCGGCTTCACATAAGAATCATAAACTAAGCCTCCATCCATACGGACAACGGTGACTTTTGTCAACTCCAATCCTCTCACAGTGTAACACATTTCACAGTCCAATGAATAAACTCCACCAGTTTCACCGACAAACTTCTGCCTTCGTTTCGTAATTACATAATCATGAAGATCTTCTTGATCGTTATGTCCGATTCCACTCCACACATGAAGATGACTCTCCGTGCAACCCAAGGAACCAAATTTTTGATAACAGCAATCGTGAATGAAGTATCCGTAATTTTCATGAGATGAAATATTACATCGACGTCTTTTACCCCAATGGTGGTAACACTTCTCCTGCGTAATGTAGGCGTTTGCAGTCGTGAAAAATATTTTCTGGCACCTGCAGCATGTCCTCATCAAACATTTTGCTGTAGGCCTGAACTCCTGGGCATTGATATTTAATCTTCCGTCACGAACCGGAAAGCTAACGCTATGAGATTTTTTCCTTGTTGAACTACTTACTGGCTCGATTGGATAACCTAACGTCAATAATAAAGTGGGAGAGATCACATATCTGCGAAGTAATAAACCAAATGTTTCCTCCGAAACCCCCAAAGCAATAAAGTGAGGCGAAGGCTGCAATATTCTTGAGACTGTCTTGCATCCCGATACTGGAACAAGTGGAGCCACTTGATATGTCAAATCTTGTGAAATGTACTCTCTTCGTCTTGAATTTATTCGTGGAGGTAATTGACAATAGGTGTTATTTCTTCGCAAAATCCTATTACTAACAGAATAATCCTTTCTTTGGTAAGATTCTTTATGAAAATAATTCTCCACATCTTGGTGTGATCCTAGAGGGTCATAGTTAGTATAGTAATATTCATCGCCGCTTCTTCCGTGTTCGATCCGGACACTATATCGACCGCAATGACGGGATGGAGGCGGAACATTCTTGGTCATCAAAAGGTTATACTGTACCAGTTCTTCTATGTTACTCATTCTTGGTATTCTCAGAAAATATCTTTCGTCTACGTCTTCTAGTCCACTGTCGCTGAACTGCAAAAAATGTTATTGCAATTACAAACACGTGGTCCTCAACAGAAAGCTTTTCGCTAACCAAGTTAGCATTATCCGGAGATGATTGAAACTCTAAGCCCAAATTGAAAAATTCAGACCATTGTGTGTTAGTAGTAACTAAACCCCGAATGAATAGTTTGTAAAATTTTGAACAACATTTCTTATATAAGTAAAATAAATATTATTGTACTCACCAATCTCCAAATTTCAGTATTGCAATATTACTAATCACAATTTGTAGCAGAAATATATATTATTTTTCGATCACTTGAATGAGATGAATACTTCAAATGAAGAAAGAAAACTTTATCACCCAAATGAAGAGCACATACAGAATGAAAAAGTATTACTTTCAAGTTCTTAAATACTAGAATCATTGTGATTTCAATTTACCTGTAGAATCTACCTGACAAAATTGCCTGTCGAATTTACCTGGCAATATAGCCAATATATAAAATTTTCTCTAAAATCTTTATCTCGAGTACCTAAATTACCTAGTTAGAATTTTTGATTAGAGATACGTAGAAATGAAATAAGCCTTCATGTGAAAATTCAGTGAATTTGTGAAACGTATTCCTAAGTCCATGTTGGGGTCATTTTCGAATTTTTTCTATAGTTTCATCATTTGAAAATGGAATTTTTCAACAATAATGCATATAATTCGATTGTGTACATCTCGTTATGATCTCATTTAAAAGAGTACTTCACGAATACCAAAGTACCAAATTTAAATAGAGTTTTTTTATTTAAAGTGTGTGTACGTACGAAATAAGTTATACCTACTTCGTTGATTATTCGTTTAAATTTATTCATGTATTCCAAATGTTTATTAAAATTTATTTTGATACTATCGTCATGTTGTACTGTGTATGGGTCAACCTGACGATAAATTTTATCATTCCAAATTTTAAGATTACTTTATGAAAGGAACATTTAATTCAATATTTGGAATAATTGATTTTTTCCGAATATTTATTATTTGTATCCATTATTGATTCATTTGTACACTTATCACATATTAAATAAATATGTAAACTTTCATTTCAGTTTATGTACGTACGTACCTACTCAAAGTAATATGTAAAAACCACTTTTATCAACAGGAAACTCTCCGCTAAGAAATGACTGATTTATGAGGTGCAGCAGTGGGTCTATGATGTTATTGCAAATATTTTTTATGATGTGAGTAGTGAATGATGATGGATTCATTCGAATTTATAGAAGATGAGTTTGATAAATATCTATTAAATCCTGTTATGCGCCCTCGCAGACGTCGTGTAATTAGAAATCGGACAAATTATTTCACTGAACTTGATGAAACAGATTTCAGAGCTTGATTTCGACTTTCTAAATCATCTGTTACTTATGTATTATCTTTGATAGAAGGAAACATGACTACAGTGACTAATTTGTAAGTACTTTTTGTCCTATTCAAAATACTGTAACGTATTCAAAAAACACAACACGTGATTCGCTTGAAAAAGCCATTGCATGGCGAAACACGTGTTGCGTTTTTGTAAAAACTCTGCGCATTTATGTTTTCCTCAAAAAAGAAAGGACCAATAATTCGTTCGTTCAATATCCCACACCAGACGTTGATTTTTTGGGAAACCTGGCTTTTACAGTTTATTACCCAGTTAGGATTATCCGCTGCCCAATAGCGACAATTCTGTGATGACACTACTCCATTTGTAGTGAAAGTGGCTTCGTCGGGATATAAAATATTTTTTAGGAAATTTCTATTGTTTAANGCATTGCCGACTCTTTAGCCAAGGGAGCGGCTGGACTAAGAATTTTAGGACCCAGTGGCACCTACTGCCTGATGACTTCGACAATTGCGGAACTAGCCAAATGTTACTCCCATGCTCAATTCCTAAAGAGATGGGATGGAATCAAAGGATGCAATATTGCCAGGATCACCCTGGGCGACCCTGGGAAGCTGGCACCGAAGAAATATTTGGCGATGATCAGGAGAAATCTATGCTTGACAGTAGAATTTCTGACTGGCCACTGTCAACTGAGGAAACACCTCCGTAATATATGGTTAGAGGACACACTTCTATGTAGGATGAGTGAACAGGAAGATGAGACTGTCAGGCATGTCCTTTGCGAGTGCTCGGGGTTATTGTCAATAAGAGAGTGTGTGTTCGGCGAGTCTTGGCCTACACCTGCATATATAAAGTAGATATCTCCAAGTGACCTGTTCACCTTCCTGGAAAGAACAGGATGGACGGTGACTTTGGAGGACAACTCCTCGGGAGGATGTACAATGGGTCTCATGTGGTCTAAGTGCTGTGGGCTTACACTCGCCCTCACTACTCTACAGATACAGAGAACATTCGTTCTACCCAATTCGCTGAGGGTTAAAGCAAACATCCTCTGTATTTCCCTTTCATGAACAGTCAGATTTGGATTAAGTTGGTTTTCGATGTTCGCCAAAGTCAGCGGTTTGCAATTCTTGATTTCAGTCTGCATATATATTAATAATGAAGCGAAAGCATCATCGAAGCATGTTACTTACCTAGCTACGACCCTACCTTTTTTTGTAACACACATCTCTGTCTGACATAGTCAGGGTAACCGCAACTACTAGCATTCGTAACGCATCGTTGTAAAATGTGAGATAGGCCTGGCCAATCTCTATACCGAATATTGATAAAAACGTCATTGAAATCATCTTTAATATAAGTTGATATATGGCCTATGTGAAAGGGAGGTATAACCGTAGTTTCGTAGTTTCTCTGGCTAATATATTCACTTTCCTTGCGAGTAATTTGCTCAAGTCAAATGACACGTTCTGACGGCGATTGAATAATCTAATTTGGCTACCCTGAATAACAACCGGTACCTTTTCGTGATTCATGGATGGCTGCCCTACAATTATAGAAACATTTTGAACGTTGTCTGGGACCACGAGTGCTTCGACGTTTGCGATCGCCAAATCAACTGCCAGAGTAATTCGTACCTTTGTGAGAACACTAATCGACCCACCTCCATAACCTCGTAAACACACTATAGTAGGTTCACTCTGTAGGTTCAAGTTTTGAATTCCTGACATTTTTATCGTAACCGCTGCACACCGGGCATCAACATAACCTCTCAAGGGTTCCCCGTTAAAAACGCATTCAATGAAATAGCATATATTCGAGTAGTATACGATAGGTACTTATAAAACATCAGTAGACTAATCCTCGTTTGATATATTTCCATGTTTACGTAATTGTGGTCGTTGGCCAAACGTACATTTGGATTCTTCGGGGCCCAATAAATGACACCAACGACATTCCAGACGTATTCGGGGACATTCCGACTGGTAGTGGTCCAACATTTTGCAGTTGAAACATTGTACGATTTTGGTTTCCAGTTCTTCTAGTCGGTAGACGCTGTTTGAAAGACAATGATTGTCTAAAGTCTGGTTTTTAGCACTCGTCTAATACTACACATGATATTACCCGACTTGTCGTCCCATAACAGAAAGATATTCTTCGTACAGGGCCTCGGGTGTTAGGTGACGTGCTGCTCGAGCACCGTTTTGAGTCGTAACTTCAGTGATTCCATCGATGATACATGACACAGCATGTCTCCCTAATATTTGGCATGTTATAAAGAGTTCCATTTTAGTGAAATAATAATTAGTCATGGTTTCATCTGGCCGCTTTATCCTGTTTAATATTTTTCTCAAAACTAGAGCATAGTCCACCTGATCTGGGAATGTTTTCATAATCAGGGCTTTACAGTCCCGCTAATAATTAGGATAATTTAATAAACCATGATACCACGATCTTGCCATTCCTGAGAATCAAGACTGCATATGGTAGATCGTTGTGACGTCATCCCAGTTATTCACCTCTTTTAACTGTTCAATTTTGTCCAACCACTTTCCGGCTGACAAATTTTCATTTTCGGTGTCAAATTTGGGAATAAAATCACTCCTGATTCCTGAAGCGTTCTATGAAATCACTGCTGAGGTTTTTCAAATGTAGGCAAACAAGTCGTCATTGTTGCAGGATAGTGATAATTTGGAAAAA